GGGGGCTCCAAAAGTGGGGAGGGGGCTGGAATTTGGGGAGCAGCAGCACTGTGGCTGACAGGAATTGGGGAGGGGGCTCCGAGTGGGGAGGGGGCTCCAAAAGTGGGGAGGGGGCTCAGAAAATGGTGAGGGGGCTCCAAAAAGTGGGGAGGGGGCTCAGATTTGGGGAGCAGCAGAATCGCGGCCAGAAGAATTTTGGGACAGGGCTGGAATTTGGGGAGGGGGCTCCAGAGTGGGGAGGGGGCTCAGATTTGGGGAAGGGGCTGGGGGTTAAAGGGGATTTGGGGCAGGGGGGAGATTTTGGTTGGTCTTTCTTAAATGTAGAAAAATAATGAGGAACATTATGAGGAAATAGTAACTGTGGATCTCATTTGAACAAAATTTTCCTTACCTTATAAAACTGATGAAAAAGGTTTAAAAGCTAGCTGCAAACAAATTATAAGTATTCTCAAAGTTATTTTAAATGTAACTGGATGGATTCTAGCATCTTCAAGTCAGATGTGACAAATAACACGCATTATAATCTTTCCTTTCATCAGCACAAAAATGCTTTGAAAATTAATAAATGAAATACAGCTTAAAAATATTACTGAAAGCCTATTACATAGGCTGAAATATGCAGTATACTTATAAAGCACTGCTTTTGATAGCATCTCTACGAATAATGCTCCTTTCAGTCAGAATATCAATAGAGCACAAGTAAGGACGACAGATAAAATAATAATACCTGAACACATTCATCTACAATGTTAGAATACACTATCCATAAGATTTCTTCCCACTTTAAGGGATGTACATTAGCTTTCTCTGACATGCTAAGCAATGTGTTACAGAATACACTTGATAATATCAATGTAATTATCACACTCACATAATAATTAGCCTCTCATGATTCACAGTAACAAAAGGAAACAAAGTAATAAATTAAGTCTGACTACAAAAATGGCCTCAGGAGATTTTGCTAAAACATGCTTTTCCTTACTTTGAGTAACAGAATGTTTTGAACTGCCTTTAAGCACATGTTTGTTTTTTCCCTTGTTTTTTTCCTAGAGGCAGTCAATATCCAGATAAAAAGCCTCTCAATATTCATGAAGAAAACTTCTTTCTCCAAAACTTCTTTAAAGAAGATAATATGCAAACTTAAATGCCTAAATTTTACAGAAACCGTCTTACACTGGTCCTCATGAAAGTTTTACGCCTGTTAATAGGCTACTTATTGGGCAGTTACCATCTTCTAACTTCCTTACTTATAGGTCTAAAGATAGACAAATCATAAACCATTTAATTTCGTTATAGAAAGAGTCATAAAATGTATCAGAACACTGATACAACCAGTTCCGCCAAAAAAAATTTGGGGGGGACCGGAAAATTTGGGGGTGGGGGTGGCTGGAGAGTGGGGGGAGGGGCTGAGACCCCCCAAAACTTCCCCAAATTTCCCCAAATTCCCCCTTTTTCACACTTGGCCTGGATTTTGGGACCCCCGAGGATTTTGGGGTCACATTTTGGGGTTTCCCCTGGTCAGGGGGGAGATTTTGGACTCCCCCCCCCAAATTTTGGGGTCCCCTGCCCCCCGTGACCCCCCCGTGACCCCCAAAAATCCCCCAAAATCCCCCCAGACCCCAACCCCTCCTTCCTTCCTTCCTCCACCCCACGGAGCGGATTTTGGGACCCCCACGGGGGCTGGGTTGGAATTTTGGGGTCTCCCCCGATTTTGGGGTGGGATTTTGGGGTCTCCCCGGATTTGGGGGTGCCCTGACCCCCCTGTGACCCCCAAATTTCCCCCAGACCCCAAATTCCCTCTTCTGCCACCCCACAGAGCAGATTTTGGGTCCCCATGGATTTTGGGGCAGGATTTTGGGATCTCCCCAGGTTTTGGGGTCTCCCCCAATTTTGGGGAGGGATTTTGGGGTCCCCCCAGGTTTTGGAGTAGGATTTGGGGTCTCCCTGAATTTTGGGGTGGGATTTGGGGTCCCGCTGCATTTTGGGGGGTATTTTGGGGATCCCCCAAATTTTGGGGTCAATTTTGGGTCCCCCCAGGTTTAGGGTGGGATTTTGGGGTGGGGTTTGGATCCCCCCCAGGTTTTGGGGTGGGATTTGGGGTTCCCACGGGCTAGAGGTTAATTTTGGGGTCCCCCAGGTTTTGGGGTGGGGTTTTGAGGCCCTGCTGCATTTTTGGGGGGGATTTTGGGGTCTCCCCGGGTTTTGGGGTGGGATCCAGGTTCTCCCTGAATTTTGGGTTGGGATTTTGGGGTCTCCCCGGGTTTTGGGGGGGGACCCGGGTTCCCCCCAGGTCGGGGGTTGGGATTTGGGGTCCCCCAGGTTTTGGGGTGGGATTTGGGTTCCCTGGGTTGCGGGTGTCATTTTGGGGTCTCCCTGGATTTTGGGCTGGGATTTTGGGCTGGGATTTTGGGGTCCCCCAGGTTTTGCGGCGGTTTTTTGGGGTTCCCGTGGGTTTTGGGGAGGGATTTTGGGGTCCCCCCGGATTTCGGGGTGGGGGTTTGGATCCCTCTGGGTTTTGGGGTGGAGTTTTGGATCCCCCCCAAAATTTTGGGGTGGGATTTGGGCCCCCCTGAGTTTTGGGGAGGGATTTTGGTTTCTCTCTTGAGTTTTCGGGTTGGGTTTTGGGTCCCCCCAGGTTTTGGGGTGGGATTTTGGGGTTCCCCTGGGTTTTGGGGTGGGATTTGGATCCCCCCCAGGTTTTGGGGTGGGATTTTGGGGTCTCTCCCATTTTGGGGTGGGATTTTGGGGTCCCCCACATTTTGCGGTGGGATTTTGGGGTCCTGCTGCATTTTGGGGTGGAATTTGGGTTCCTCTGGGTTTTTGGGTGGGGTTTGGGCCCCCCGGGTTTTGGGTTGGGATTTTGGGGGGGTACCGGGATTCCCCCCAGGTCAGGGATCCGGATTTGGGGTCCCCCAGGTCAAAAGTTGGGGTTTGGGCCCCCCTGGATTTTGGGGTGGGATTTCGGGGTCCCCCAGGTTCTGGGGTGGAATTTTGGGGTCCCCCCAGGTTTTGGGGTGGGTTTTGGATCCCCCCCAGGTTTTGGGGTGGGATTTGGGTTCCCATGGGTTAGGGGTGTAATTTTGGGGTCTCTCTGGATTTTGGGCTGGGATTTCGGGGTCCCCCCGGGTTTTGGGGTGGGGTTTGTCTCCCGCTGGGTTTCGGGGTGCCCTGACCCCCCGTTCCCCCCCGTTCCCAGATTACCACGGCGGCCGCTCCCGCAGGAAGAGCGTTCCCGGGGGGAAGCAGTTCAGCATCAACATGGACGCGCCGCCCGCGCCCCCCTTCCGGCCCTCGGTGAGCGCCCGTCGCCGTGGCAACCGCGGCCTGACCGTCGCCATGGCAACCACGGCCCGACCGTCGCCATAGCAACCGCTGCCTGACTGTCGCTGTGGTTACCATTGTCATCCGCTGCCATGGTTACCATTGTCATCCGTTGCCGTGGTTACCATTGCCATCCGCTGCCATGGTTACCATTGTCATGCGCTGCCACGGTTACCATTGTCATCCGCTGCCATGGTTACCATTGTCATCCGTTGCCATGGTTACCATTGTCATCCGCTGCCGTGGTTACCATTGTCATCCGTTGCCGTGGTTACCATTGTCATCCGTTGCCGTGGTTACTATTGTCATCTGTTGCACGGTTACCATTGTCATCTGTTGCCATGGTTACCATTGTCATCCGTTGCCGTGGTTACCTTGCTTCCCCCGCCGTCCATTGCCGTTGTTACCGTGGCCCCCCCATAGCCCGTTGCCATGGTTACCATTGTCACCCATCATCCGTTGCCATGGTTTTTCCCCCCATCATCCATTGCCGTGGCCACTGCGATCTCCAAATCCCCGTTGCCATGGTTACTGTTGCCATCAATCATCCATTGCCATGGTTACCGTGGGATCCTGGTCCCTCCCATTTCCACGGTTACCGTTGTCATCCGTTGCCATGGTTACTGTAATCCTCCCCCCTTACCCGTTGCCATGGCTGCTGTGAGCTCTGTCAACTGTTGCCATGGTTACCATGTTCCCAATGCACCCGTTGCCATGGTTACCCCGTCACACACCCTTTGCCGCGGTTACTGTGGCCCTCCATCAACGTTGCCATGGTTACCATGGTTACCACGGTCCCGTTTCCACGTTACCACGGTTACTGTGGTTCCCACGTGCCCGTTGCCATGGTAACTGTGCTCCCCATACATCCAGTGTCTTGGCTACCAGGGTAGCTGTTGCCGTGGTTACCCAACGCACACCCGTTGCCATGGTTACCGTGGTCCCTCCATCACCCATTGCTGTGGTTGCTGTGGTACCCACACAGCCGTTGCCATGGTTACCCCATCACACACCCGTTGCTGTGGTTACCCCATCACACACCCGTTGCCATGGTTGCCACAGTCCCCATCACCTGTTGCCATGGTTACCATGGCCACTATTTCCATTGCCATGGTTACCATGGTCCACACATGCACGTTGCCATGGTTACCCCATCACACACCCGTTGCCATGGTTACTGGTTACTGCGGTCCCTCATCACTCGTTGCAGTTTTTGCTGTGGTACCCAGGCAGCCGTTGCCATGGTTACTGCGGCCCAGCACATCCCTGTCGTGGTTATTGCGGGCCTGCCCGTTGCCATGGTTACCATGGTCCAGCCCTTCTGCGTTGCCATGGTTACCCTGGCCCTGCTCCTCCCCGTTGCCATGGTTACCGTGGTTGTGCCTGTTGCCATGGTTACTGTGACTCATTGCATCGCCGTTGCCATGGTTACCACCATCCCTGTGGTCGCCACGCTCCCGTTGCCATGGCAACTCCTCCACCTGGCACCACGGGAGCCGCGATGCTTTGCTGCCTGTCTCCATGGCAACCGTGGCCCTGTGGTAGCTGTTGCCATGGTAACCGGGTAGCCCATGTCCTGAGTGACCCGTTGCCATGGCAACAAGGTAACCCATGTCAGGAGCTGGGTAACCCGGTTACCATGGTAACGGGTTGTTGCAGCCCCAGGTGACCTGGATCCAGAATAACCCGTTGCCATGGTAACCAGGTGACCTGGATCTGGAATAGCCCATTGCCATGGTAACAGAACAACCCAGGTACTGGATAGCCTGTTGCCATGGTAACCGACAACCCAGATCCTGAATGACCCGTTGCTATGGTAACCAGGTAAACCAGGTCTGGAATAATTCGTTGCCATGGTAACAGGGTAACTTGAATCTGGAATGACCCGTTGCCATGGTAACCAGGTAATCAGGTCCAGAATGAGCTGTTGCCGTGGTAACCAGGTGAATCAGGTCCGGAGTGACCCGTTGCCATGGTAACCAGGTGAACCCAGGTCTGCAATAATTCGTGTCCACGGTAACCGGGTAACCCGTGTCCTGTGCTGCCCGTTGCCATGGTAACTGCACAGTCCACACACGGAATGACCCGTTACCATGGTAACCACTTCACCTGGATCTGGAATAACCCGTTGCCATGGTAACCGGGTCACCTGGCTCCTGGGTGACCCCTTGTCAGGGTAACTGGTCTGTTGCCATGGTAACCAGGTAAACCAAGTCTGGAATTACCCGTTGCCATGGTAACCGGGTAACCCGGCTCCTGAGTGACCCGTTGCCATGGCAACTGCTGCCCGTTGGCATGGAAACCGTGACCCAATGACCCCCTCCCCCCTCAGACCCTGGTGACCTCTGACCCCTTGACCCCAGTGACCCTGTGGTCACTTGATGACCCCTGACCCCCGGGTGACCCCCTGACCCTGTGACCCCCGGGTGACCCCAGTGACCCCTGGGCGACCCCAGTGACCCTGTGACCCCCGGGTGACCCCCTGACCCTGTGACCCCTGGGTGACCCCCTCTGACCCCTTGACCCCAGTGACCCTGTGGTCACTTGACGACCCCTGACCCCTGGGTGACCTCCTGACCCTGTGACCCCTGGGTGACCCCCTGACCCTGTGACCCCTGGGTGACCACAGTAACCCTGTGACCTCTGAGTGACCCCCTGACCCTGTGACCCCTGGGTGACCCCAGTGACCGGGTGACCGTGTGACCCCGTGACTCCGGTGTGACCCCGGTGTAACCCCGTGTGGCCCCCGGGTGACCCCGGGTGACCCCATGTGACCCCAGTGTGACCCCGTGACCCTGTGTGGCCCCCGTGTGACCCCATGACCCCGGTGTGACCCCGGGTGACCCCGGTGTGACCCCTGTCCCCAGCAAGGCTTCCTGAGCCGCCGCCTCAAGAGCTCCATCAAGCGCACCAAGAGCCAGCCCAAGCTGGACCGGACCAGCAGCTTCCGGCAGATCCTGCCGCGCTTCCGCAGCGCCGACCACGACAGGTGAGACACCTGGGATACACCTGGGCACAGCTGGGCACACCTGGGATACACCTGGGATACACCTGGGCACAGCTGGGTACACCTGGGCACACCTGGGATACACCTGAGATACACCTGAGCACACCTAGGCACACCTGAGATACACCCGGATACAGCTGGGGCATTGGGGACACACCTGGGACACACCTGAGGCAGCTTCCGGCAGATCCTGCCGTGCGTCGAGCGCCGACCACGACAGGTGAGACACCTGGGCACACCTGAGACACACCTGAGTACAGCTGAGACACACTTGGATACACCTGGGTACACCTGAGACACACCTGGGTACACCTGGGCACACCTGGGATACACCTGAGATACACCTGGGCACAGCTGGGTACACCTGGGCACACCTGGGATACACCTGAGATACACCTGGGCGCACCTGAGATACACCTGGGTACAGCTGGGGCACTGGGGACACACCTGGGACACACCTCACACACTTGGGGCAGCTTCCGGAGCGCTGACCATGACAGGTGAGACACCTGAGATACACCTGGGCACAGCTGAGATACACCTGGGACACACCTGGGGCAGGTTTCAGCAGATCATGCCACGCTTTCAGAGCGCAGATCACAACAGGTAACACACCTGGGCACATCTGGGGTACACCTGGGCACACCTGGGTACAGCTGGGATACACCTGGGCACACCTGGGGCATTGGGGACACACCTGGGTACACCTCACACACCTGAGGCAGCTTCCAGCAGATCCTGCCGTGCTTCTGGAGCACCAACCACGACAGGTGAGATACACCTGGGCACACCTGAGATACACCTGGGACACACCTGGGGCAGGTTTCAGCAGATCATGCCACGCTTTCAGAGCGCAGATCACAACAGGTAACACACCTGGGCACATCTGGGGTACACCTGGGCACAGCTGAGACACACCTGGGGGCACCTGAGGCATTGGGGACGCACCTGGGTACACCTCACACAGCTGGGGCAGCTTCTGGCAGATCCTGCGGCGCTTCCAGAGCGCCGACCACGAGAGGTGAGACACCTGAGATACACCTGGGCACAGCTGGGGCACACCTGGGCACAGCTGGGGCACTGGGAACACACCTGGGCACAACTGAGATACAGCTGGGTACAGCTGGGCACACCTGAGACACACCTGGGATACACCTGGGATACACCTGGGGGCACCTGCGGGCATCGGGGACACACCTGGGCACACCTGGGGCACACCTGGGGACAGATGTGGGGACACCACAGGGACTCCTGGAGGCACCAGGGGTCACCTGGGGACACCTGGGGTCACCTGGGCACATCTGGGGACACACCTGAGGGAGTTTGGGGGCACTTTGGGGACACCTGGAAACACACCTGGGACACACCTAGGAGACCTGGACACACCTGGGGACATCAGGGCACACCTGGGGACACCACGGGGGCATTTGGGGACATTTGGGGGCACTGGACCAGCAGCTCCCACAGCGCCGAGCGTGACAGGTACCGGCAACACCTGGGGCACACCTGGGGGCACCCCGGGGGGCTTTGGGGGTCCCACCGTGTGGGGGCCCTGAGTTCCACCAGGAACTCCCCAAAATCCCCCAAAAAATCCTCCCAAAATCCCCTCGAATCCTCCCAAAAATCCTCCCAAAATCCCCTCGAATCCTCCCCAAAATCCTCCCAAAATCCCCTCAAATCCTCCCCAAAATCCCTTCAAATCCCCTCAAATCTCCTCAAATCTCCCAAAATCCCCCTCAAATCTTCCCAAATTCTCTCACATCTCCCAAAATCCTCTCAAATCCCCTCAAATCTCTGCAAATGCCCCAAAATTCTCTCAAATCTTCCAAAATCCCCTGAAATTCCCCCAAAATCCCCCTCAAATCTCCCCCAAATCCCCCCAAATTCCCTCTGATTCCCCCCAAATCCCTTTCCAACCCCTCCAATCCACCCCAAATTCCCCCCAAATTCTCCCAAATCCCCCCAGACCCCTCCAGATCTCCCCGAATTCCCGAAATTCCCGAAATTCCCGCCCCCCGCGCAGGGCCCGGCTGATGCAGAGCTTTAAGGAGTCGTACTCGCACAAACTCCCCAAATCCCCCTCAAATGCCCCCAAATCCCCCTGAATTCCCCCAAATCTGTCCCAAACCCCCCCAAATGCCCCCAGACCCCCCCAGGGCCCCCCAGATCCCCCCGAATTCCCGAAATTCCCGCCCCCCGCGCAGGGCCCGGCTGATGCAGAGCTTTAAGGAGTCGCACTCGCACGAGTCGCTGCTGAGCCCCTCGAGCGCGGCCGAGGCGCTGGAGCTGAACCTGGACGAGGATTCCACCCCAAACTCCCCCCAAATGCCCCCAGACCCCCCCAGGGCCCCCCAGATCCCCCCGAATTCCCGAAATTCCCGCCCCCCGCGCAGGGCCCGGCTGATGCAGAGCTTTAAGGAGTCGCACTCGCACGAGTCGCTGCTGAGCCCCTCGAGCGCGGCCGAGGCGCTGGAGCTGAACCTGGACGAGGATTCCATCATCAAGGCCGTGCACAGCAGCATCCTGGGCCAGGAGTTCTGCTTCGAGGTGGGCGTTCCGGAACCTTCCGCGGCTCCGGGGGCCTCGCGGGGGCGTGGCTCACCTGTGGCGGGGGGCGGTGCCCGCAGGTGACGACGGCGTCGGGCACCAAATGTTTCGCCTGTCGGTCAGCGGCCGAGAGGGACAAATGGATCGAGAACCTGCAGCGCGCCGTGAAGCCCAACAAGGTGGGGGATGGGGAGGGGGGAGGGGCTAGTGGGAATGGGGGTGGGCAACTGGGTGTGGGGGTGGGCAGCTGGTGGGTATGGGGGTGGTCAGTGGTGTTTGATGGTCAACTGGTGTTCGATGGTCAACTGGTTATGGGGAGGGTCAACGGGACAGGGGGATGGGCAACTGGTCAGGGGGGTGGGCAACTGGGTGTGGGGGTGGGCAGCTGGTGGGTATGGGGGTGGTCAGTGGTGTTTGATGGTCAACTGGTGTTCGATGGTCAACTGGTTATGGGGAGGGTCAACGGGACAGGGGGATGGGCAACTGGTCAGGGGGGTGGGCAACTGGTGAGAATGGGGGTCGTTCACTGGTGTTCAATGGTCAACTGGTTATGGGGAGGGTCAACGGGTCAGGGGGATGGGCAACTGGTCAGGGGGGGGGGCAACTGGTGAGAATGGGGGTCGTTCACTGGTGTTCAATGGTCAACTGGTTATGGGGAGGGTCAACGGGTCATGGGAGAGGGCGACTGGTGGGGATAGGTGTCATTAACTGGTGTTTGATGGTCAACTGGTTATGGGGAGAGTCAATGGGCCATGGGGGTGGGCAATGGGTCATGGGGATGGGCATCTGGGGGATGGGGGTTGTTAACTGGTGTTTGATGCTCAACTGGTTATGGGGAGGGTCAACGGGGGATGGGCAACTGGTCATGGGAGAGGGGAACTGGTCATGGGAGAGGGCAACTGGTGGGGATAGGTGCCGTTAACTGGTGTTTGATGGTCAACTGGTTATGGGGAGAGTCAACGGGTCATGGGGGTGGGCAACTGGTCATGGGAGACGGGAACTGGTGGGGATGGGTTTGTTAACTGGTGTTTGATGATCAATTGGTGATGGGGGGAGAGACAGTGGGTCATGGGGATGGGCAACTGGTCATGGAAGTGGGCAACTGGTCAGGGGGGTGGGCAACTGGTCAGGGGGGTGGGCAACTGGTCAGGGGGGTGGGCAACTGGTCAGGGGGGTGGGCAACTGGTCAGGGGGGTGGGCAACTGGTCAGGGGGGTGGGCAACTGGTCAGGGGGGTGGGCAACTGGTCAGGGGGGTGGGCAACTGGTCAGGGGGGTGGGCAACTGGTCAGGGGGGTGGGCAACTGGTCAGGGGGGTGGGCAACTGGTCAGGGGGGTGGGCAACTGGTCAGGGGGGTGGGCAACTGGTCAGGGGGGTGGGCAACTGGTCAGGGGGGTGGGCAACTGGTCAGGGGGGTGGGCAACTGGTCAGGGGGGTGGGCAACTGGTCAGGGGGGTGGGCAACTGGTCAGGGGGGTGGGCAACTGGTCAGGGGGGTGGGCAACTGGTCAGGGGGGTGGGCAACTGGTCAGGGGGGTGGGCAACTGGTCAGGGGGGTGGGCAACTGGTCAGGGGGGTGGGCAACTGGTCAGGGGGGTGGGCAACTGGTCAGGGGGGTGGGCAACTGGTCAGGGGGGTGGGCAACTGGTCAGGGGGGTGGGCAACTGGTCAGGGGGGTGGGCAACTGGTCAGGGGGGTGGGCAACTGGTCAGGGGGGTGGGCAACTGGTGAGAATGGGGGTCGTTATCTGGTGTTCAATGGTCAACTGGTTATGGGGAGAGTCAATGGGCCATGGGGGTGGGCAGCTGGTCATGGGGGAGGGCAACTGGTCATGGGGATGGGCAGCTGGGGGATGGGGGTGGGCAACTGGTCAGGGGGATGGGCAACTGGTGAGAATGGGGGTCGTTATCTGGTGTTCAATGGTCAACTGGTTATGGGGAGAGTCAACGGGTCACAGTTGGTGAGCTGCTCATGGCAGGGTGAACTGGTCATCGGGATGGTGAAGTGGTGGGAATAGAAATGGTCAGCTGGTGTTTAACTGGTCATGGGAATGGTCAGCTGGTGGGGATGGTCATGGTGTTGATGGTCAGCAGATGTTTGATGGTCAGCTGGTGGGGATGGTCAGATGGTGACGAGGATGGTTGTGGTGTCAATGGTCAGCTGGTGATGGAAGTGGACAGCTGATATTGATGATCAGTTGGTGATGGAGCTGGTCAGCTGGTGGGGTTGGTCATCTGGTGCCGATGGTTAACTGGTGTTTGATGGTAAACTGATGGTGTTGGTGGTTGACTGGTAATGACGGCGGTCAACTGGTGTTTGATGGTCAACTGCTGTTTGATGGTCAGCTGGTGTCGATGGTCAACTGGTGGTGGGGGTGGTCATGGTGTTGATGGCCAAGTGTGTTGATGGTCACCTGGTGTTGATGTCAGCTGGGATAAGGATGGTCAAGCAGTGGTGATGAGCGCGGTCAACTGGTGTTGATGGTCATCTGTGCTTGATGATCAACTGGCAGGGATGAGAATGGTCAAGTGGTGTTGGTGGTCATCTGGTGGGAATGGGGGTGGTCCGTTGGTGTTGATGTCAGCCAGACTAGGGACGGTCAAGCAATGGTGATGAGCCTGGTCAGGGGGTGTTGATGGTCATCTGGGTGGTCATTTGGAGGGGATGTTGATGGTCAGCTGGTGTTGATGGTCAGCTGGTGATGGGGGTGGTCATGATGTTGATGGTCATCTGGTATCAATGGTCAGCTGGTCTTGATGTCAGCTGGGCTAAGGATGCCCAAGCCACGGTGATGAGCCCGGTCAGCTGGTGTTGATGGTCAGCTGGTGTCGAGGGTGTTCATGATGTTGATGGTCATCTGGTGGGAGTGAGGATGGTTGAGCAATGGCGATGAGTGTGGTCAGCTGGTGTACATGGTCAGCTGGTGTAGACGGTAAACTGGTGTTAATGATCAACTGATGAGTATGGGGATGGTCACCTGGCTGGTGTTGATGGTCAGTGGGTGCTGATGGTCAGCTGGTGTTGATGGCCAGCTGGTGTTGATGGTCAGTGGGTGCTGATGGCCAGCTGGTGTTGATGGTCAGTGGGTGTTGATGGCCAGCTGGTGTTGATGGCCAGCTGGTGTTAACAATCAGCTAGTGGCAATAGGGATGGTCACCTGGCATTGATGGTCACCTGGTGTTGATGGCCAGTGGGTGTTGATAGTCACCTGGCATTGATGGTCACCTGGTGTTAACAATCACCTGGTGTCAGTGGGGATGGTCACCTGGGATTGAAGGCCTCCTGATGTTGATGGCAAGCTGGTGTTGATGGTCACCTGGGGTTAATGATCACCTGGTAGCAATGGGGATGGTCACCTGGCATTGATGGTCACCTGGTGTTAACAATCACCTGGTGTCAGTGGGGATGGTCACCTGGCGTTGAGGTTCACCTGGTGTTAACGATCACCTGGTGGCAATGGGGATGGTCACCTGGCATTGATGGTCACCTGGCATTGATGGTCACCTGGCATTGATGGTCACCTGGTGTTAACGATCACCTGGTGTCAGTGGGGATGGTCACCTGTCACTAATGGTACCCGGGCTAAGGACGGCCCCGCGTGGCTCCGAGCTGCTCCACGGGCGTTGCCACTCCCCGGTGCTCTGACCACGCGGTGCCCGCGGGCTCTGACCGCGCAGGACAACAGCCGCCGCGTGGACAACGTGCTGAAGCTGTGGGTGATCGAGGCGCGCGACCTGCCGCCCAAGAAGCGCTACTACTGCGAGCTGTGCCTGGACGACATGCTGTATGCGCGCACCACCAGCAAGGCCCGCACCGACAACGTCTTCTGGGGCGAGCACTTCGAGTTCAACAACCTGCCGGCCGTGCGCACCATCCGCCTGCACCTCTACAAGGACACCGACAAGAAGAGGAAGAAGGACAAGAGCAACTACGTGGGCATGGTGAGCATCCCCATCGCCAGCGTCACCGGGCGGCACTTCGCCGAGCAGTGGTACCCCCTGAGCCAGCCCAGCGGCAGCAAGAGCAAGGCCGGGTGCCCGGCGCTGCGGGTCAAGAGCCGCTTCCAGACCATGAGCATCCTGCCCATGGAGCTCTACAAGGAGTTCGCCGAGTACGTCACCAACAACTACCGCATGCTCTGCGCCGTGCTGGAGCCCGTGCTCAGCGTCAAGAGCAAGGAGGAGGTGGCCTGCGCGCTGGTGCACATCCTGCAGAGCACTGGCAAGGCCAAGGTAGGGCTTCGGGGTTGGGACGGTGGGATCTGGGAGGCTGGGATGGATGGATGGATGGATTATGGGTGAAGATGGATGGATGATGGATGGATGGATGGATGATGGATGGATGGATAGATGGATGGATGATGGAGATGGGACAGAAGAACATCTGGCCCCGGGCCACACTGACGGTTGTGGGCAGGACTTCCTGTCGGACATGGCCATGACGGAGGTGGATCGTTTCATGGACCGGGAGCATCTGATCTTCCGGGAGAACACCTTGGCCACCAAAGCCATCGAGGAGTACCTGAAGCTCATCGGCCAGAAATACCTCAAGGATGCCATTGGTGAGCGCCAGTGGCACTGGGGGGCATCATCAGGGGCGTGGTCTCATTTGCAGGGGTGTGGTGGGCTGGGTGGTCCCACTCATGGCCTTGACATGGTTGGGTGGCCCCTTCTTGTCATCATGAGATGCTTGAGTGGTCCCCACTCATGGCTATGCGGTCATTGGATGGTCCCCATTCACATTCAGGTTCCATCACCACCACCATGAGACCATTGGGTGGCCCTCACTCATGGCCAGTTTCCATCACAACCATCATGAGGTCATTGGATTGTCCCTTCCTGTGGCCATGACATTGTTTGGGGTCCCACACATGACCAGATTCCATCACCAACATCATGAGATGATTGGGTCGTCCCTTCTCATGACCATGAGATCATTGGGTGTTCTGTGTTCATGGCCACCTCCCCAGTCAGATGGTTCTGGGATGGTTGGGTGGTCCCTACTCACAATCAAGTTCCATCACCTTCATCAATGAGATGGTTGGGTGGTCTCTCCTTGTGGCCATGTGACATTTGCTTGGTCCCTGCTTATGGTCCTGACATGGTGGCCCCTTCTTGTGGTCATGAGGTGGTTGGGTGGTCCCCACTCATAGCCATGAGTTCCATTGCCACCATCGTGAGATCGTTGGGTCGTTCCTTCTCATGACCATGAGATCCTTGGGTAGTTCCAGGTTCCATTACCACCATCATCATGAGATCTGGGGTTGTCCCCACTCATGGCCATGTTTTATCATCACCATCATGAAATCATTGGGTGGTCTCTTCTCACATCCATGATGTGGTTGGGTGGTCTCCATTTATGGCCATTAGGTCATTGGATGGTCGCCACTCTGCTCAGGTTCCATCACCACCATCATGAGATCAATGGTTGGTCCCTTCTCACATCCATGACATGATTGGATGGTCCCCACTCACAGTCATGTTCCATCACCATCAGATTGAGATCTTTGGGTGGTCTCTTTTCATGGCCATGACACGGTTGGGTGGTCCCCACTAACAGTCATGTTCCGTCACCACCATCATGAGATTATTGGGTGTTCCTCACTCATGGCCATTAGGTCATTGGATGGTCCCTACTCATGGCCATGTTCCATCGCCACCATAATGACAGCTTTGGGTGGTCCCCACTCATGGTCATGTTCCATCACCACCATCATAAGATCTTTGGGTGGTCCCTTCTCACATCCATGACATGGTTGGGAGGTCCCTGTCATGGCCATTAGGTCATTGGGTGATCCCTACTCACGGCCACGTTCCATCACCACCATCATGAGATCTTTGGGAGGTCCCTTGTCACCTCCATGACACGGTCGGGTCCCTTCTCCCCCTGCCCCTCGGTGTCCCCGTGGGTGTCCCCGTGTCGCCCTGCCCGCGCCGTGCCGCAGGCGAGTTCATCCGTGCGCTCTACGAGTCGGAGGAGAACTGCGAGGTGGACCCCATGAAGTGCTCGGCCTCCACCCTGGCCGACCACCAGGCCAACCTGCGCATGTGCTGCGAGCTGGCGCTCTGCAAGGTGGTCAACTCCCACTGGTGAGTGCGGGGACGCGGCGGGGACGTCCCGGGGAGGTACCCAGGGGTCCGGGTGACAGCGTGTGACACTGCGCGGCACCGTGTCCTGCCGCAGCGTGTTCCCGCGGGAGCTGAAGGAGGTGTTCGCCTCGTGGCGGCTGCGCTGCGCCGAGCGCGGGCGCGAGGACATCGCCGACCGCCTGATCAGCGCCTCGCTCTTCCTGCGCTTCCTGTGCCCCGCCGTGATGTCCCCCAGCCTCTTCGGCCTCATGCAGGAGTACCCCGACGAGCAGACGGCACGGACGCTGACCCTCATCGCCAAGGTCATCCAGAACTTGGCCAACTTCACCAAGTGAGGGCGGCGACGGCGGGAGGGAGCGGGACAAGGGGCGGGGGAGGGGCCAGGGAGGGGAGGAGTTGGATGGGGGATGGGTGGAGATGGATGATGGATGGAAGGATGGATGGATGATGGATGGAAGGATGGATGGATGATGGATGGAAGGATGGATGGATGATGGATGGAAGGATGGATGGATGATGGATGGAAGGATGGATGGATGATGGATGGAAGGATGGATGGATGATGGATGGAAGGATGGATGGATGATGGATGGAAGGATGGATGGATGATGGATGGAAGGATGGATGGATGATGGATGGAAGGATGGATGGATGATGGATGGAAGGATGGATGGATGATGGATGGAAGGATGGATGGATGATGGATGGAAGGATGGATGGATGATGGATGGAAGGATGGATGGATGATGGATGGAAGGATGGATGGATGATGGATGGAAGGATGGATGGATGATGGATGGAAGGATGGATGGATGATGGATGGAAGGATGGATGGATGATGGATGGAAGGATGGATGGATGATGGATGGAAGGATGGATGGATGATGGATGGAAGGATGGATGGATGATGGATGGAAGGATGGATGGATGATGGATGGAAGGATGGATGGATGATGGATGGAAGGATGGATGGATGATGGATGGAAGGATGGATGGATGATGGATGGAAGGATGGATGGATGATGGATGGAAGGATGGATGGATGATGGATGGAAGGATGGATGGATGATGGATGGAAGGATGGATGGATGATGGATGGAAGGATGGATGGATGATGGATGGAAGGATGGATGGATGATGGATGGAAGGATGGATGGATGATGGATGGAAGGATGGATGGATGATGGATGGAAGGATGGATGGATGATGGATGGAAGGATGGATGGATGATGGATGGAAGGATGGATGGATGATGGATGGAAGGATGGATGGATGATGGATGGAAGGATGGATGGATGATGGATGGAAGGATGGATGGATGATGGATGGAAGGATGGATGGATGATGGATGGAAGGATGGATGGATGATGGATGGAAGGATGGATGGATGATGGATGGAAGGATGGATGGATGATGGATGGAAGGATGGATGGATGATGGATGGATGATGGATGATGGATGAAGGATGATGATGGATGGATGGCGGAGGTTGAAGGATGGATGATGGAAGATGAAGGATGATAAGGCATGCATGATGATGGAAGATGATGATGATGATGATGATGATGATGGATGAAGGATGATGATGGATGGATGATGCTGATGATGGCAGGGGCTGACAATGGATGACAACAGATGATGATGGATGGATGATGGAGGATGACAATGGATGATGGATGGATGGATGGATGGATGATGGATGATGGATGATGGATGAAGGATGATGATGGATGGATGATGCTGATGATGGCAGGGGCTGACAATGGATGACAACAGATGATGATGGATGGATGATGGAGGATGACAATGGATGATGGATGGATGGATGGATGGATGATGGATGATGGATGATGGATGAAGGATGATGATGGATGGATGATGCTGATGATGGCAGTGGCTGACAATGGATGACAACAGATGATGATGGATGGATGATGGAGGATGACAATGGATGATGGATGGATGATGATGGATGAAGAATGATGAGGGTGGATGATGGCTGAGATGATGATGGATGGATGGTGATGATGATGATGATGATGGATGAAGGATGATGATGGATGGATGAGAGTGGGTGAAGGATGATGATGATGATGATTACAATGCTGATGATGGCAATGGCTGACAATGGATGACAACAGATGGATGATGATGGATGATGTATGAAGGATGAAGATGGATGATGGTGCATGATGGATGATGATGATGACTATGGCTGACAACGGATGACAACAGATGATGATGGATGATGGACAACCCCCACTTCCCACCCTTCCCCCCCCTCACCTGCCACCTCCCACCCTACCCCTCACACTGGGAACACCCTTCACCTGCTGGGGCCCACCTGCCGGCCCCGCCCTCACCTGCCCGGGGATGTTCCCGCCCACCTGGCTTCCCTTACCTGCTTGGAGTGTCCCCGCCTACCTGTTGACCCCACCCTCACCTGCTGGGTGTGTTCTCACCCACCTGCCCACCCCACCCTCACCTGCTGAAGTCCACCTGTCAGCCTCATCCTCACCTTCTGGGGGTGTCCCTGCCCACCTGCCAGCCCCACCCTCACTTTTTGGGGATGTTCCCACTCAGCTGCTGTCCCCACCCTCACCTGTCAGGAGGTCTTCCTGCCCACCTGGTGGCCCCGCCCTCACCTTCTAGGGGTGTCTCTGCCCACCTGGCTCCCCCACCCTCACTTGTTGGGGGTGTCCCCACCCACCTGGTGGCCCTGCCCTCACCTGCTGGGGGTGTCCCCGTCCACCTGCCGGCCCCGCCCTCACCTGTGGCCCTGTGCCAGGTTCGGGAGCAAGGAGGAGTACATGGCGTTCATGAACGAGTTCCTGGAGCTGGAGTGGGCCAGCATGCAGCAGTTCCTGTACGAGATCTCCAACCTGGACACGCTGACCAACAGCACCAGCTTCGAGGGCTACATCGACCTGGGCCGCGAGCTGTCCACGCTGCACGCGCTGCTCTGGGAGGTCATGAGCCAGCTCAGCAAGGAACCGCACCTGTCAGCCCCTCACCTGTGCGGCCACAGCCTCACCTGTGCAGGGAGAACCTCACCTGTGCAGCCATAGCCTCACCTGTGCAGCCACAGCCTCACCTGTGCAGGGAGAACCTCACCTGTGCAGCCATAGCCTCACCTGTGCAGCCACAGCCTCACCTGTGCAGGGAGAACCTCACCTGTGCAGCCATAGCCTCACCTGTGCAGCCACAGCCTCACCTGTGCAGGGAGAACCTCACCTGTGCAGCCATAGCCTCACCTGTGCAGCCACAGCCTCACCTGTGCAGGGAGAACCTCACCTGTGCAGCCATAGCCTCACCTGTGCAGCCACAGCCTCACCTGTGCAGGGAGAACCTCACCTGTGCAGCCATAGCCTCACCTGTGCAGCCACAGCCTCACCTGTGCAGGGAGAACCTCACCTGTGCAGCCATAGCCTCACCTGTGCAGCCACAGCCTCACCTGTGCAGGGAGAACCTCACCTGTGCAGCCATAGCCTCACCTGTGCAGCCACAGCCTCACCTGTGCAGTGAGAACCACACCTGTGCACCCACAGCCTCACCTGTGTAGTGACAGTCTCACCTGTGCGGGCACAGCCTCACCTGGGGGGTGGTGATAGGGATGGACATCCTGCGGAGCTGCTCTGGGAGGTCATGAGCCAGCTCAGCAAGGTACCGCACCTGTCAGCCCCTCACCTGTGCGGCCACAGCCTCACCTGTGTGGTGACAATCTCACCTGTGCGGCCACAGCCTCACCTGTGCACCCACAGCCTCACCTGTGCAGCCACAGCCTCACCTGTGTGGTGAGAACCTCACCCGTGCAGCCACAGCCTCACCTGTGCGGGCACAGCCTCACCTGTGCAGTGAGAACCTCACCTGTGCAGGCACGGCCTCACCTGTGCGGGCACGGCCTCACCTGTGCACCCACAGCCTCACCTGTGCGGGCACGGCCTCACCTGGGGGCGGTCATGGGCAGGGTGACCCCCCCAGCCTCCGCAGCTGTCCCATCATGGGAGATCCCTGGGGTCCCCCCAGGTGAGGTCCCAGGGGTCCCACCTGCGTGGGTGAGCTCCCCAGGTGTGCCCAGGTGTGCCCAGGTGTGCGGGGTGCCCCTGCAGGAGGCGCTGCTGAAGCTGGGCCCTGTCACAGTCTTTGGGGTCTCCCTGTGTGCAGCCAGTGGGAGGTCCCAGGTGCTCCCAGGTGTTCCTAGGTGTGCTCAGGTGTGCCCAGTTGCACTCAGGTGTGCTCAGGTGCTCTCAGGTGCTCCCAGGTGCACTCAGTTGCACTCAGGTTTGCTCAGGTGTGCTCAGGTGCTCTCAGGTGCTCCCAGGTGCACTCAGTTGCACTCAGGTGTGCTCAGGTGTGCTCAGGTGCTCCCAGGTGCACTCAGGTGCTCCCAGGTGCACTCAGTTGCACTCAGATGTGCTCAGGTGTTCCCAGGCGCGCTCAGGTGCACTCAGGTACGCTCACCTGTCTGCATGAGGCGCTGCTGAAGCTGGGCCCCATTGCAGGCATTTGGGGTGTTCCCAGGTGCACTCAGATGTGTTCAGGTGCACTCAGGTGTCCCCATGTGTTCCCAGGTGCACTCAGGTGCACTCACCTGTCTGCAGGAGGCGCTGCTGAAGCTGGGCCCCATTGTAGGCATTGGGAAATCAATGGGGTTGCTCCAGATGAGGTCCCACGTGTGTTCAGGTGTTCCCAGGCCCACTCAGGTGTCCTCAGGTGCACTCAGGTGTCCCCAGGTGCTCCCAGGCGCGCTCAGGTGCACTCAGGTGCGCTCACCTGTCCGCAGGAGGCGCTGCTGAAGCTGGGCCCGCTGCCGCGGCTGCTGACGGACATCAGCGTGGCGCTGCGCAACCCTCACCTGCAGCGCCAGCCCAGCCAGGGCGAGCGGCTGCCGCCCAAGGGGCTGGTGCTGCGCGGGCCCTCGGCCGACCTGCAGCCCTACCTCGTGCGCGACCTCAACAGGTGAGCGCACCTGCCCGCCCGCCCGCCCGCCGCGCCCCTCGTGTCTGCTTCTGTGGCTAAGGTGTGTCCCTGTCTCACCTGGGTCACCCCACCCACCTGTCAGCCCCTCCTGGTGTCCTCTTCTGTGGCCAAGGTGTCCCCCTGTCTCACCTGGCCTCACCTGGTGGCCATTGGTCTCACCTGGAGTAGCCCCACCCACCTGTCACCCCCTGTCGTGTCCCCTTGTGTGGCCAAGGTGTCCCCCTGTCTCACCTGGTGTGGACCCGCCCACCTGTTAGCCCCTCCTGGTGTCCTCTTCTGTGGCTAAGGTGTGTCCCTGTCTCACCTGGAGTGGCCCCACCCACCTGTCACCCCCTGTTGTGTCCCCTTGTGTGGCCAAGGTCTCACCTGGCCTCACCTGGCATGGCCCCACCAACCTGTCAGCCCCTCCTGGTGTCCCCTTCTGTGGCCAAGGTCTCACCTGCGGCCCTCACCTGGGGCCTCACCCCCCCCATCGTGTCCTGTTGTGTGCCCAAGGTGTCCCCTCTGTCTCACCTGGCCTCACCTGGTGGCCCTCAGTCTCACCTGGGGTGGCTCCCCCCCCCATCTTGGCTGGTCATGTGGCCAAGGTGTCCCCTGTCTCACCTGGCCTCACCTGGGGTGGCCACGCCCACCTGTCACCCCCCCCCCCCATGCCCCCCTTCACCCCCCCCCCCAATGTCCTCATGGTGACCCCCAAATACCTGCGGGACCCTCATGTCCCACCTGTGACCCCCAGTGTCACCTGTCGTTGCCTGAGGTCTCACCTGAGGGTCTCCTGTCCCCCCCCGGTGTCCTCTGGTGTCCCCACCGTTCCCAGGTGTCCCTGGGGTGTCACCTGTCCTGCCCTGGTGTCCCCCCATGTCCCCACCTGTCCCAGGTGTCCCAGGGTCTCACCTGGAGGTGTCACCTGTCCCCTCCATGTTCCCTTGGTGCCCCCAGGTCTCACCTGAGGGTCTCACCTGTGCCCCCCTGTGTCCCCCTGGGTGTCCCCACCTGTCCCAGGTGTCACCTGGGGGTGTCACCTGTCCTGCCCCAGTGTCCCTCTGATGTCCCCACCTCTCGCCCCTGGTGTCCCCCCTTGTCCCCACCTGTCCCAGGTGTCCCAGGGTCTCACCTGGTGGTGTCACCTGGGTCTCACCTGTCCCTGTCCCCGCAGCTCCGTGGATCTCCAGTCCTACATGGTCCGGGGGCTCAACAGGTGAGGGGCGGGAATTGGGAATGGGGTTTGGGATTTTGGGGGATTTGGGATTTGGGATTTGGGGGGATTTGGAGTCTGGGGTTTGGGATCTGGGGTCTGGGGTTTGGGATTTGTGGGTTTGGGATTTGGGGTTTGGGATTTGGGGGATTTGGGAATTGGGGTTTGGGGGATTTGGGGTTTGGAGTTTGGGATTTGGGGTTTGGAGTTTGGGGAATTTGGGAATTGGGGTTTGGGGGATTTGGGGTTTGGAGTTTGGGGGATTTGGGAATTGGGGTTTGGGGGATTTGGGGTTTGGAGTTTGGGATTTGGGGTTTGGGGTTTGGGTTTTGGGATTTGGAGTTTGGGATTTGGAGGTTGAGATTTGGGAATTTGGGAATTTGGGGTTTGGGGTTTGGGAATTGGGGTTTGGGAATTTTGACTTGGGATCAGGATGGCAATTGGGATTGGGATTGGGGTTGGGGTGGGCATGAAAGTGGGATTGGGATCAGAATGAAGGAAGGGATAGAGATGGGACAGGCCAGGATGGGATGGGAACATTTGGGATGGGGCAGGAACGTTTGGGATGGGAACATTTGGGATGGGAATGTTTGGGATGGGAACGGGAGCCTTCAGGCCGGGGCGGGACAGGGACAGCAGCGGGACAAGGATTCCAGAGGCGGATCCGGGTCCGTGTCCCACTGCCCTCACCCGTGTGTGTTCCGCATCCCACATCCCCCACCCCTCCATCCCCCGGCCCCAATCCCATGGTCCCCTCCATCCGTCACCATATCCCATCCCATATCCCATATCCCATCCCATATCCCATCCCATATCCCATATCCCATATCCCATATCCCATATCCCATACCCCATATTCCATATCCCATATCCCATCCCATATCCCATATCCCATATCCCATCCCATATCCCATATCCCATATCCCATATCCCACATCCCATATCCCATATCCCCATATCCCATATCCCATATCCCATATCCCCATATCCCATACCCCATATTCCAAGGATATGGAGACATGGGGGACACTGGGGGGTGTGGGGGACATTGGGGGGGTGGGGGTATGGGGACATTGGGAATTGTAGGGGACATTGGGGACACTGAGGGATGTGTGGGACATGGGGACGCTGGGACATGGGGACATTGGGTGTGCTGACATGGGGACATTGGGAACATTGGGGACATTGGGGATATGGGAGCTGGGGGACACTGGGACATGGGGACATTGGGTGTGGGGACGTGGGGACATTGGGGACATTGGGGTACATAGGGGCAGAGGGACACGCTGGGGACAGGGTGGCGAAGGGGGAACCAAACTCATCTTTGTGTCCCCCTGTGTCCCCCCATGTCCTCCTGTCCCCCCGTCCCCATGTCCCCATGTGTCCCCACATCCTTGTGTCCCCTATGTCCCCATGTCCCCAATGTCCCCCCGATGTCCCCGATGTCCCCCTTTATCCCCGTGGTCGCTGTGTCCCCCATCTGTTCCATATCCCCGTATTCCCCTGATATCCCTGTGTCCCCTCGCTGTCCCCATGCTCCCATGCTGTCCCCGTGTCCCCTCACTATCCCTGTGTCCCCATGCTGTCCCTAACTGTCCCCATGTCCCCCACTGTCCCCGTGTCCCTGTGTCCCCACTGTCCCCATGTCCCCACGCTGTCCACTCACTGTTGCTGTGTCCCCATGCTGTCCCCATGTCCTCACGCTGTCCCCGTGTCCCTCTGTCCCCTCACTGTCCCCATTGTCCCTGTGTTCCCATGCTGTCCCCTCACTGTCCCCGTGTCCCCTCCCTGTTCCCGTGTCCCCATGCTCATGCTGTCCCCATGTCCCGTCCCTATCCCCATGTCCCCTCGTTGTCCCTGTGTCCCTACTGTCCCCATGTCCACTCACTGTCCCCGTATCCCCTTACTGTCCCTATGCTGTCCCCTCACTGTCCCCGTGTACTGGTACAGGTGTGCCCACCAGCGATCCAATTGTGCCCCATGTCCCGTCACTATCCCCATGTCCCCTCGTTGTCCCTGTGTCCCTACTGTCCCCATGTCCACTCACTGTCCCCGTATCCCCTTACTGTCCCTATGCTGTCCCCTCACTGTCCCCGTGTCCCTGTGTCCCCTCCCTGTTCCCATGTCCCCTCCCTATCCACATGTCCCCTTGTTCCCTCCCTGTCCCCATGTCGCCTCCCTCTCCCCTTGTCCCCTCCCTGTCCCCATGTCCCCACTGTCCCCATGTTCCCTCCCTATCCCCGTGTCCCCATGTCCCCTCCCTGTCCCCTTGTTCCCTCACTGTCCCCGTGTCCCCACTGTCCCCGTGTCCCCTCCCTGTCCCCGTGTCCCCATGTCCCCTCGCTGTCCCCATGTCCCCCCGTGTCCCCGGTGTCCCCGCAGGCGTCGCAGACGCCGTCCACGCTGAACCCGGTGCTGCCGGCGTCCGAGCGCACGGTGGCCTGGGTGTCCAACATGCCGCACCTGTCGGCCGACATCGAGAGCGCGCACATCGAGCGCGAGGAGTACAAGCTCAAGGAGTACTCCAAGTCCATGGACGAGAGCCGGCTGGACCGGGTAGGGCAGGTGTGAGGGACACAGGTGTGACTGGCACAGGTGTGAGTGACACAGGTGTGACTGGTACAGGTGTGAGGGACACAGGTGTGTGTGAGCGACACAGATGTGCTCAGGTGTGAGTGACACAGGTGTGAGGGACACAGGTGTGACTGGTACAGGTGTGCCCAGGTGTCTGTGAGTGACACAGGTGTGAGTGACACAGGTGTGACTGGCACAGGTGTGAGTGACACAGGTGTGACTGGTACAGGTGTGATCAGGTGTGCCCAGTTGTGCCCAGGTGTGCAGGGATCCAGGTGTGAGGGGTACAAGCTCAAGGAGTACTCCAAGTCCATGGACGAGAGCCGGCTGGACCGGGTAGGGCAGGTGTGAGGGACACAGGTGTGAGGGACACAGGTGTGACTGGTACAGGTGTGAGTGACACAGGTGTGACTGGTACAGGTGTGAGTGACACAGGTGTGAGTGGTACAGGTGTGCCCAGGTGTGCCCATGTGTACCCAGGTGTGAGGGGTACAAGCTCAAGGAGTACTCCAAGTCCATGGACGAGAGCCGGCTGGACCGGGTAGGGCAGGTGTGAGGGACACAGGTGTGAGTGGCACAGGTGTGAGTGGCACAGGTGTGACTGGTACAGGTGTCCTCAGGTGTGCCCAGGTGTCTGTGAGTGACACAGGTGTGCAGGGATCCAGGTGTGAGGGGTACAAGCTCAAGGAGTACTCCAAGTCCATGGACGAGAGCCGGCTGGACCGGGTAGGGCAGGTGTGAGGGACACAGGTGTGAGTGACACAGGTGTGAGTGACACAGGTGTGAGTGGTACAGGTGTGGCTGGCACAGGTGTGCTCAGGTGTGCCCAGGTGTCAGTGGTACAGGTGTACTTAGGTGTGTTCAGGTGTGAGTGGTTCAGATGTGAGTGGTTCAGGTGTGCTCAGGTGTGCAAGGATTTGGCGAATGATGCTGGTGGAGCTCAGGTGTGCAGATGTTCAGGTGTGCAGGGATCCAGGTGTGCAGATATTCTGGTATCCAGATCCAGGTGTGCAGGGATCCAGGTCCTATGGACCCCCAGTGTCCCTGGATCCAGGTGTGCAGGGATCCAGGTGTGAGGGGATTCAGGTGTGCCCAGGTGTGCAGAAATCCAGGTGTGCAGGGATCCAGATGTGCAGCGATCCAATTGTGCCCAGGTGTGCAGCAATCCAAGTGTGCCCAGGTGTGCAGGGATCCGGGTGTGCCCAGGTGTCCCCTGTGGCAGGTGGAGGAGTACGAGGAGGAGATCCAGGTGTGTCAGGTGTCCCCAGGTGCACCAGGTGTCCCCAGCTTTCCCAGGTGCTGTAGCTGTCCCCAGGTGTCGCCAGGTACCGTTGGTGTGCCCAGGTGTGCTAGGTGTGCCCGTAGAGGGGTGTAGGGGTTCCCAGGTGTGCCCAGGTGTGCCCAGGTGTGGCAGGAGCCCTGCAGTTTCCCTTTGGCAGGTGAAGGAGTACGAGGAGGAGATCCACTCGCTGAAGGAGCGGCTGCACAGGGACAGGGGGGTGACAGGTGTGACAGGTGTGCCCGTAGCTGTACCCAGGTGTGCCAGGTGTGCCCATAGCAGGGCGTAGGGGTTCCCAGGTGTACCCAGGTGTGTCCATAGCAGGGTGTAGGGGTTCCCAGGTGTGCCCAGGTGTGCTAGGTGTGCCTGTAGCGGGGTGTAGGGGTTCCCAGGTGTGTCCAGGTGTGCCCATAGCAGGCCGTAGGCGTTCCCAGGTGTGGCAGGAGCCCTGCAGTGTCCCTTTGGCAGGTGAAGGAGTACGAGGAGGAGATCCACTCGCTGAAGGAGCGGCTGCACAGGGACAGGGGTGGTGTAGGTGTGACGGGGGTGCCCATAGCTGTGCCCAGGTGTGCCCACAGCAGGGTGTAGGGGTTCCCAGGTGTACCAGGTGTGCCCATAGCAGGGTGTAGGGGTTCCCAAGTGTGCCCAGGTGTGTCAGGCGCCCTGCAGTGTCCCTTTGGCAGGTGACGAGTACGAGGAGGAGATCCACTCGCTGAAGGAGCGGCTGCACAGGGACAGGGGTGGTGTAGGTGTGACGGGGGTGCCCATAGCTGTGCCCAGGTGTGCCCACAGCAGGGTGTAGGGGTTCCCAGGTGTGCCCATAGCTGTGCCCAGGTGTGCCCACAGCAGGGTGTAGGGGTTCCCAGGTGTGCCCATAGCTGTGCCCAGGTGTGCCCACAGCAGGGTGTAGGGGTTCCCAGGTGTACCAGGTGTGCCCATAGCAGGGTGTAGGGGTTCCCAAGTGTGCCCAGGTGTGTCAGGCGCCCTGCAGTGTCCCTTTGGCAGGTGACGAGTACGAGGAGGAGATCCACTCGCTGAAGGAGCGGCTGCACAGGGACAGGGGTGGTGTAGGGAGCTCCCAGGGGTGACAGGTGTGACAGGTGTGACAGGTGTGCCCGTAGCTGTACCCAGGTGTGTCAGGTGTGCCCATAGCATGGTGTAGGGGTTCCCAGGTGTACCCAGGTGTGTCCATAGCATTGTGTAGGGGTTCCCAGGTGTGTCAGGTGTGCCCATAGCAGGGTGTAGGGGTTCCCAGGTGTGCCCAGGTGTGCCCAGGTGTGCCCGTAGCAGGGCGTAGGCGTTCCCAGGTGTGGCAGGAGCCCTGCAGTGTCCCTTTGGCAGGTGAAGGAGTACGAGGAGGAGATCCACTCGCTGAAGGAGCGGCTGCACAGGGACAGGGGTGGTGTAGGGAGCTCCCAGGGGTGACAGGTGTGACAGGTGTGACAGGTGTGCCCGTAGCTGTACCCAGGTGTGTCAGGTGTGCCCATAGCATGGTGTAGGGGTTCCCAGGTGTACCCAGGTGTGTCCATAGCATTGTGTAGGGGTTCCCAGGTGTGTCAGGTGTGCCCATAGCAGGGTGTAGGGGTTCCCAGGTGTGCCCATAGCAGGGTGTAGGGGTTCCCAAGTGTGCCCAGGTGTGTCAGGCGCCCTGCAGTGTCCCTTTGGCAGGTGACGAGTACGAGGAGGAGATCCACTCGCTGAAGGAGCGGCTGCACAGGGACAGGGGTGGTGTAGGGAGCTCCCAGGGGTGACAGGTGTGACAGGTGTGACAGGTGTGCCCGTAGCTGTGCCCAGCTGTGCCCAGGTGTGCCAGGTGTGCCCATAGCAGGGTGTAGGGGTTCCCAGGTGTGCCTGTAGCAGGGTTTAGGGGTTCCCAGGTGTACCCAGGTGTGCCCATAGCAGGGTGTAGGGGTTCCCAGGTGTGCCCATAGCAGGGTGTAGGGGTTCCCAGGTGTGCCCATAGCAGGGTGTAGGGGTTCCCAGGTGTACCCAGGTGTGTCCATAGCAGGGCGTAGGCGTTCCCAGGTGTGGCAGGAGCCCTGCAGTGTCCCTTTGGCAGGTGAAGGAGTACGAGGAGGAGATCCACTCGCTGAAGGAGCGGCTGCACAGGGACAGGGGTGGTGTAGGGAGCTCCCAGGGGTGACAGGTGTGACAGGTGTGACAGGTGTGCCCGTAGCTGTACCCAGGTGTGTCAGGTGTGCCCATAGCATGGTGTAGGGGTTCCCAGGTGTACCCAGGTGTGTCCATAGCATTGTGTAGGGGTTCCCAGGTGTGTCAGGTGTGCCCATAGCAGGGTGTAGGGGTTCCCAGGTGTGCCCATAGCAGGGTGTAGGGGTTCCCAGGTGTGCCCAGGTGTGCCCAGGTGTGCCCATAGCAGGGCGTAGGCGTTCCCAGGTGTGGCAGGAGCCCTGCAGTGTCCCTTTGGCAGGTGAAGGAGTACGAGGAGGAGATCCACTCGCTGAAGGAGCGGCTGCACATGTCCAACCGCAAGCTGGAGGAGTACGAGCGGCGCCTGGTGACGCAGGAGGAGCAGACCAGCCGCATCCTCCTGCAGTACCAGCAGCGCCTGGAGCTCAGCGAGAAACGGCTCCGGCAGCAGCAGCAGGAGAAGGACTCGCAGATCAAGAGCATCATCGGCAGGTGAGGGACACACGGGGACAGCGGGGACACGGGGACACGGGGACACACAGAGACACGGGGACACACAGGGACACGGGGATACAGGGACTCGCAGATCAAGAGCATCATTGGCAGGTGAGGAACACACGGGGGCAGCGGGGACACACAGGGACACACGGGGACACAGGGACACATGGGGACACATGGGGAAATGGGGACATGGGGACTCGCAGATCAAGAGCATCATTGACAGGTGAGGAACACACGGGGACACACATGGCCACAGGGACACTGGGGACACACAGGGACATGGGGACAGACAGGGGTATGGGGACACACAGATGAAGAACGTCATCGGCAGGTGAGGAACACATGGGGACAGCAGGGACAGCGGGGACACGGAGACACACAGGGACATGGGGACACGGAGACACACAGGAACATGGGGACACGGGGACACACAGGGACATGGGGACACACAGGGACATGGGGACTCAACAGATCAAGAGCATCATCAGCAGGTGAGGGACAGCAGGGACACTGGGGACATGGGGACATGGGGACACACACAGGGCCAGGGACACACAGGGACTCACAGATCAAGAACGTCATCGAAAGGTGAGGGACACACAGGGACAGTGAGGACACCAGGGACACCGGGACACACAGGGACACAGGGACACACGGGGACACGGGGACACACAGGGACGTGGGGACACTGGGGACATTGGGGACAGACAGGGACATTGGGGACATGGGGACACACAGGGACATGGGGACACACAGGGATACGGGGACTCGCACATCAAGAGCATCATCGTCAGGTGAGGGACACACGGGGACAGTGGGGACACGGGGACACGGGGACACACGGGGACATGGGGACAGCGGGGACACACGGGGACACGGGGACAGAGAGGGGACACGGGGATATAGGGGTACAGGGCATCATTGGAAGGCGAGGGACACACGGGGACACACATGGCCACAGGGACACTGGGGACACACAGGGACATGGGGACAGACAGGGGTATGGGGACACACAGATGAAGAGCGTCATCGGCAGGTGAGGAACACACGGGGACAGCGGGGACACAGGGACACACAGGGACACGGGGAAACACAGGGACCATGGGGACATGGGGACAGACAGGGACATGGGGACACACAGGGACATGGGGACTCAACAGATCAAGAGCATCATCAGCAGGTGAGGGACAGCAGGGACACTGGGGACATGGGGACATGGGGACACACACAGGGCCAGGGACACACAGGGACTCACAGATCAAGAACGTCATCGAAAGGTGAGGGACACACAGGGACAGTGAGGACACCAGGGACACCGGGACACACAGGGGTATGGGGACACAGGGACACACAGGGACAGGGGGACACACAGGGACAGGGGGACACACGGGGATACAGGGACTCGCAGATCAAGAGCATCATTGGCAGGTGAGGAACACACGGGGGCAGCGGGGACACACAGGGACACACGGGGACACAGGGACACATGGGGACACATGGGGAAATGGGGACATGGGGACTCGCAGATCAAGAGCATACGGGGACTCGCACATCAAGAGCATCATCGTCAGGTGAGGGACACACGGGGACAGTGGGGACACGGGGACACGGGGACACACGGGGACATGGGGACAGCGGGGACACACGGGGACACGGGGACAGAGAGGGGACACGGGGATATAGGGGTACAGGGACAGACAGGGACACGGGGACATGGGGACTCGCAGATCAAGAGCATCATCGGCCGGTGAGGGACCCATGGGGACAGTGGAGACACGGGGACACGGGGACACACAGGGGTATGGGGACACAGGGACACACAGGGACATGGATACACACAGGGACATGGGGACACACAGGGACATGGGGACTCACAGATAAAGAGCATCATCGGCAGGTGAGGGGCACCTGAGGACAGCAGGGACACGGGGACACACGGGGACACACAGGGACATGGGGCTGCAGGGTCACACAGGGACACAGGGACAGAACGGGACATGGGGACAGCCAGGGGACACGGGGACGTTGGGGACACAGAGGGGTATGGGGACACACAGGGACACGCAGAGATGTGGGGACACACACTGGGGACAGCCAGGGGACATTGGGGACACACAGGGACATCGAGGGGGACACAGGGACATCAGGGATACAGGGACATTGGGGACACACAGACAGACATGAGGGACATTGGGGACATGGGGGACAGAGAGACACGGGGACCACAAGGACACGTAGGACATGGGTGACACAGAGGTGACACACGGGGACACGGTGTGGCCCATGTGTGTCCCCACGATTGTCCCCAAATCCCTGGGTGTCCCTGGCGTGTCCCCAAGTGTCCCTGAGGGGTCCCCGAGAGTGTCCCCAGGATGTCCCTGGGTGCCCCTGGGCTGTATCAGGGGTGTCCCCGTGAACTTGAGGTGTCCCCAAGGTGTCCCCAGAGTTGTCCCCATGCCCTTGGGCTGTCCCTGGACTGTCCCCAGGGTGTCCCCAGGGTGTCCCCTGCCCTTGGGCTGTCCCCAGATGCAAATGTCCCCATGTGGCCGAGTGTGTCCCCAAAGGTGTCCCCACATCCCTGAGGATGTCCCTGTGATCCCAGGGGTGTCCCTGAGTTGGCTGTCCCCATGTCCCTGGCCTGTCCCTGACAGTGTCCCTGTGCTGTCCCCATGTCCTTGAGCCGTCCCCTGGGTGTCCCCAAGGTGTCCTTGGGTGTGTCCCCATGATGCCCGGGGCTGTTCCCGTGTCCCTGGGTGTGTCCCCATGTCCCTGGGCTGTCCCTGACAGTGTCCCTGTGCTGTCCCCATGTCCTTGAGCCGTCCCCTGGGTGTCCCCAAGGTGTCCTTGGGTGTGTCCCCATGATGCCCGGGGCTGTTCCCGTGTCCCTGGGTGTGTCCCCATGTCCCTGGGCTGTCCCCGGGTGTGTCCCCATGATCCCCGGGGCTGTCCCCGTGATCCCCGGGGCTGTCCCCATGTCCCTGGTGCTGTCCCCGTGTCCCCGGGTGTGTCCCCATGATCCCCGGGGCTGTCCCCGTGTCCCTGGGGCTGTCCCCGTGATCCCCGGGGCTGTCCCCATGTCCCTGGTGCTGTCCCCGTGTCCCCGGGTGTGTCCCCATGATCCCCGGGGCTGTCCCCGTGTCCCTGGGGCTGTCCCCGTGATCCCCGGGGCTGTCCCCATGTCCCTGGTGCTGTCCCCGTGTCCCCGGGTGTGTCCCCATGTCCCTGGTGCTGTCCCCGTGTCCCTGGGGCTGTCCCTGGGTGTGTCCCCGTGATCCCTGGGGCTGTCCCCGTGATCCCCGGGGCTGTCCCCATGTCCCTCGTGCTGTCCCCGTGTCCCTGGCCGTCCCCGCGGGCCCGGGGGGTGTCCCTGGGCTGTCCCCGTGTGTGTCCCCATGTCCCCGGGTGTGTCCCCATGTCCCTGGGGCTGTCCCCGTGTGTGTCCCCATGATCCCTGGGGCTGTCCCCGCGGGCCCGGGGGGTGTCCCTGGGCTGTCCCCGTGTGTGTCCCCATGTCCCCGGGTGTGTCCCCATGTCCCTGGGGCTGTCCCCGTGTGTGTCCCCATGTCCCCGGGTGTGTCCCCATGATCCCTGGGGCTGTCCCCGCGGGCCCGGGGGGTGTCCCTGGGCTGTCCCCGTGTGTGTCCCCATGTCCCCGGGTGTGTCCCCATGATCCCCGGGGCTGTCCCCGTGATCCCCGGGGCTGTCCCCATGTCCCTCGTGCTGTCCCCGTGTCCCTGGGGCTGTCCCTGGCTGTGTCCCCATGTCCCTGGGCTGTCCCCGGGTGTGTCCCCATGATCCCTGGGGCTGTCCCCGCGGGCCCGGGGGGTGTCCCTGGG